CTAAAGGCGCTCTGAAAGCAGTGCCTGTTCTCAAATAGTGAAGTTCGAGGTGTCCTGAGTTGAACCTCAAAACGATGAGCAGCCATAGTCCGTCGTGTATTTCTGATATGTACCGCTCTTGGTGGAATCAAATGTACCAAGTCACTTGAACACTTCGCGTGACAGTATCTATAGAAGAGAGACAAATCTCTAACCTTTCTTCGATGTTCCAGACTCTCAAGTGACGTTCGCGTCTCCAATCAGACGGACGACTCTTTTCTGGATCGAATCCAGCAGCTTTAGGGTATGCTTAGGGGCAGAGCTCCATACATGAGGACAATACTCTATAGCAGGTCTGATTTGAGTATTATGAGGCGTTAGAAGTTGCTGAGGTGTGTACAGTTTTCTGGTTCAGAATAGTGTTCCAAAGTTTTGAGAGGCAGCCTTCACAATTCTATCGACATGATTGTGCCAAGATCAGTGACGAGAGATCTGCAAACACAGAATACAACAGAAGAAGGACCATCACATACATATCAACTCGTGTTCTGAGCAAGCAGATCCCATACCATCTATACGTGCTATCTTGTTACAATAATTTGTTGAAGTAATCCTATACGTTGAATTATGACATCAATAAGGCTGGAAGAACAATTGTTCAGTTCAGCATCTTCATGCGGGACATCTATCACCCATACATGGAGTAAAGAAAAGGTGTCGAACAACTGAAGCTGACTACCATGGATCCTATTTCCAAATTGTCAGTCAATACTGAAGATAAAGTACCAATCTCTCATAATTCAGGCGTTTATAGAATTTCTTGTTCACGACCAAATTGTTATGCTCCATATGTTGGACAAAGTGGTAGGAAAATTAAAACAAGGGTTTTGAACATTGATACTTTCAGAAATCAACATTTAAATGATTATAACACAAAAAGTTCATTCTCTTATCACATTCTTAATTACAACCATAGTTTTGATATTGATGATTCCGATTTAAATATTTTACATGTTTGCCAAAAAGGCACTTTACTTATTTTACTTGAAATTTTTGAAATCAACTCTGCTATCAATAACCCCAATGGTATCTCTTTTAATTAACAAGTACAGTTTGATTGCCAAAAGTTTTTCAATTCTCTTAATCATAACTAAATTTCCCTTGCCTTGATCTTTCATAAATTCTCATTTTATTCATACTATTAGTATGGTTATACAGTTGTTTGGTGATCAGCTCCAGTTGTTTGACACCTTTTCTTCATTCCTTGTATAGGCAATAGATGTCTCGTATGGTGGTGCTGCTCTGAACAATTGTTCTTCCAACCGTATTGCTGACCAACGTATTCAGTTCAATCAGGATGGAGCCCAGCTCCCTTACCCTTTTAGCGGTAGGGGATGTTGGCGGTATGAAATCCTCAGATATCAGTACCACCCTTCACGGGGTACCACGACCTGGCTGGGGTGGGATGGATGAAAAAGCTATTCCTCTGTTAACGGGGGACATGGCAGAGTGTAGGGGCCTTCTATATCGGGAGGGGTCCTCTACAGCATAGTATATAGCTTCCCTAATCCAACCTTTCTGATTTCATAGTTCAACCTATATAATCCAGTTAATTTAGGTTTTTTAAACCTCAATCTGCGGAAAAATTCCTACTGAGCTAAATTTTGGTGTTTATGGCGTTTTAATGAAGATGTGAAAAATCGACATTGATATCGTGCCGGCTAAAATAGTTATAAGGGTCACAATTCAATTGACAATTACAGATACTGCAGCTTTGCTAAACTAACAAGACGAAGCACAGCTGTGAAATTTCAATTATTACCACCCACTTCTTCAGCAGCTCAACAGCATATTTATCGAGTCTATCATCAAATACAAACCTGGCTAGGAAAAGAAATTGATCCAGAACAGTGGGATTGGGAGGTGAAAAATAATATATTGCAACCAATAACAACTTTATTGCCACCAGCACTGGATGATCTACTAAACACAATCTTTTGTAATTGTACAAAAGAATGTGGCGGCAAATGTGGATGTAAAAAAATTGGATTGAGATGTTCTAAAGCTTGTCGACATTGTCGTGGTCAGTCATGCTCAAACGCAGAGTCCACTAGTGAAGAAAATTATGGAGATGTTAATTCAAATACAGCAATAAGTCCACTCGATGTTTTGTCAGCAACTTTTGATGAAGTTGAAGTTGAGGATATCGACGACGAATGAGTATAAAAGAAAATTATATACAAAATTTTTTTCTCCTATTTTTCAATGTACAAATAAAAATTAACGAGCATAAAAAGAAAAACACCTTTTATTACAGTTTATGGATTATGCCTACCCATGTAAAAAAAACGCCTTGCATTCTACCTCAAAGGTGGTGCGGAAACGAGTGCATCATCATAATGTAGTCGCTTTCTCAGTGCTCTGGTTCGAAAACGATTGACTTTACAGAAAAATGCAAGTAAAATTTTGTAGATAATCGTATGTGAAATAATTTTTTTGATGATCTTTATTGACATCCGAGCCATATGTCGCGAAATATTCCCGAAAAACTGATTTTCGTGACCTTTTGACCCTTATAACTTTTTCAGCCGGCACGGTATCAATGACAATTTTTCACATCTTCATTAAAACGCCATAATGAAGGTGTATACCAAAATTCATCTCACTAGGAATTGTTCCGCAGATGAAACCTTAAATGAATGGACTAATAGTATTACTTTCACACATTATTGATGGTATATATAGATAGTATGGTATCTGTTTGCTCAGAACACGAATTGATATCTATCTGGTGGTCCTTCTTCTGTTGTGTTCTGTGTTCACTGTTCACATTCTCGAACGCTCGAGAAATCTATTGTATAGCGAAACAGGTGTCTCGGTTTTTGTAAAACCCTTTATAGTGAAAATAAAACAATAAAGTGTATTAGTTAGTTGTTTAGATGTGGATTTTCATCAAGTATCGGCCAGTTCTATTCAATTAAAAAATGTTTTGATTTCTCTTGACTTATAATTAGTAAACTATTTTTTCAAAGCGGTAAACACATTCATTGTGATACGTAAATTACAATTACAGAAAATATCTCATCGTCGAGGTTACTTTTTTATTTGTAACGAACTGTAGTTTAAAAGCAGTGTGTTGAAAAATAATAACAATCAAAATAACGTTACTTGTTTACTACATGGAGTGTATTTCTCAGCGTACATTATTTATTAAGAGCATTTCGAAAGTTTTTTCACCAACTCACCAACGAATTGAAAAAAAATATTTCTCTTACATTATATCCCTTTATATTGTTCTCCATGTATATTTTAGTCATTTTAATCATTTTTCCTCATCATCATAAATCCTGATATTTACATATTATTTCCTCTACATCATCATCATTAGAATGTATTATTTCCAACTGAAAAATTATTTGTCCACTGAGTTGAATATGTTGATTTGATATTTGTACTGATCAAGCTGTGCTACTGGGTGTATTTACCTCACATTTTTAAATTTACCATAGTTACAAATTACTGTCACGAGTCCACTAACGTAAAACTCTTTAACGGCTTCGATCTGACAAATCTTCCAAAAGTTATTAGAGATTACTAGGAGAGTCGTTAGATTTAATGGCGCATATGTTTTTACGGACTAGTAAAATAGTCGGTACAAATAAAACTTTCAAAGGATTTCATATACCTATTTCGTAACAGTTTATGTACATTGTATCGAGTTGTTGGAACAATGAATTCTGTTGAAATTTGAATGATTTTCTCGTGCTTTACTCTCCAGTTTTAGCAATATATTACAGACGATGAATTTTGAACCACTTGGAAAAGTATTTTCACCAGTATATCTATCTCATAAGAGAGGGTCCAAGCTGGAGGAGACGATACGGGTGATAGAGATGATAGAACTCATATAACATGGAGTCCATTCGATTTCTCAGCGTTTTTGAATAATTTTAATTTCTGAGATATTGTATAAGAAAGTAACAGGATTTTCATTCTTCCATTTGCAGTGATGTAAAAGAATTACGTTTATCAGGAGATTTTTATCATGAAACTGAAATGATTATGGATAATTCAAGCTTACATTGACCAATAATTAATTGTCTGAAAATTATTCATATAGGTACATACTTTGTGTATAGGTTTAAATCAGTGAAACCACTCTACCGGATCTGTACAAGTACAACATCAGAACCTGCTTCAGATCCGGTAACACTATCCGTAGCAGCCTCACTAAAACCAGGCCACCAAACGCGTACTGCGATTCCAAGAATTGCATTTACCGGATACCATGGGAGTGCGGAAAATCCTATATTGGTGGAACTAAGAGGCATTGAATGTTTGCATTGCCGAGCACTAGAAACACACACAGCGAGGAAAAACCAGCAAATCAGGAATAGCAGACCATGTTTGGACCCATCAACACAACATCGAGTGGTCCCAAGCTGAGATCTTGCACAGAGAGGAACATTGGTTCAGGAGAAAATTTAAGGAAGCCGCATACATGTTGTCCAACAACGTATTCAGCCAGGCCAGCGTAGATATACGAAACATATGGAAACCCATCATCAAACGAAAAATGACCAACTCCCGCCAAATCGGTCATCTCTCACGGAATCA